AAGCCCTTTAAAAATAAAAATATATTTAGGAAATATGGAATGAAGCCGCAGTATCTTCTTTTCCTTTTCTACCTCCACCAATATTGTTTCATATGTTAAATGCTTTTGCCTGTAGTGAGTCTCTCAATAAAACCAGGAGCAGATTCTCAGTTATAGTAGCAGAAAAGTCAAATGCAGGACACTGCTGTTTCTTGTCTGATGCTTTCATTCAAGTCTTCTATTTCTTTCCTCTATAAAGAGATAGACAATTTGTAAAGGAAAATAAAAGAAAGGAAGTTGCATTGAAAGGTCACTATATACTGTGGTTTCAGTGTGCTTGAATGTATGCCAGGTGCTGTCGTTGTAGGGCCACCTGCAATATTAATGCTTAAGCTGTATTGCTAAGAATTCAAGGTACTTACTAATGTAGCTATTGGAATATTAGCATAAGTGAGTGAGACATATTAAAAATAAGCACATGCACATGAAACTTGAGGCTGCTGGAAAGTGTGCGTTTAGCCTCATGGGCTCAGTGTTGTATTACTGAGATTTTGTAGCTTTCTTCACCAGATGAGAACAGAACTACACATCTTCAGTTGTGTCTTCAGGTGTAGTTTTTTGCATGTTGTATTAGGATTTTTAAATTGCATTGGGATTAGAATTCTATTCAACTTCAGATTCCCATGAACATCTCAAAAGAAAAAAACCCACAAAACTGTTACATGCACAAAAAGTGACAACGTTGACAAACTTGACTACCTTGTTTGTTGCGTACTTAGCTTAAATTTGAATAGATTTTTTTGATGAAATCTCACTAAACAAATTAATAATTGATTGTGTTAGTAAAATGTGCCATTCACAGTAATAATCCTACAAAACTTCTAAAGCCATAGCCACAGTAACAAAAGCACATCCAAATCGCCCTTAAGAGAAGTTGTTGCCCTTGGACATTGTACTGTTTTAATATTCTTGTCAGAAGATGTGCTTGCTTGATGTACTCTGTTTTTCTTTGTTTTTGCAGATATGCTCTTTCTTCAAGGATCAGAGGCTATATTTAAAGTGGCTTTAAGCCTTTTGGGAAGCCACAAGCCCTTGATTCTGCAGCATGAGAACCTAGAAACTATTGTTGATTTTATTAAAAGCACTCTCCCCAACTTGGGGTTGGTACAGATGGAAAAGACCATTAGTCAGGTATGAAATAATCTGAACATATGAGTAGTATGCAAAGAAATGCTCTTTTTACCAAGTTCTTGACAGAAAAACCACAACAATGTATCATGTTACTTCAAGCTGAGAATTCTGTTATTGTAGTTCTGAAGGTGTTGAAAACTTTTGGAAGCATATGACTTGTATAGTACCTCTGTGTTCATACATCTACATGTTGGTTATGGTCACTTTAAGCCTTTAATGAAAATTAGTTTACGCTTTTTTTTTAAGTGTGTGTAGCGGCTGTTATTGGCAGCAGTATTATAGCCCATACACAGTTCATTCCACAAAAAAAGCAGCAAGGGGAGCTAGAAGCTGTCTGAGGTTTTCTGTCTCCAAAGAATCTTGCTCTGCAAGTCTCATTTTAGAAGCAAAGATTGACTTACAAGAGCCTCACAAATGTTGTCCTTACTTAATGAAATTAGAATCCTCCCTACGTTGACTTTCTCTGTGCTGGCTTTTACAGTGCTAGTTCAGTATGTTACAACAGTGCCTTTGTATTTCTGCCAGGAGTACATGGGACAGTGCAGTCTTTTGCAGTGAGCAGTGACTCTTGACAGCAAAAACTGAGGATCCTTGATATACTTTTTTAAATGGCAGACAAGGAAAATGATGCAATATTGCTAAGCTAGCAGAAGGCTCCAGACAATAACTCTGGAATTTGAAAAAAATCACAGACTATTGCAGTGAGGGCTTGCCTGTTTAGAAAACCTGACTCTTACACTTGACGTCTAATTTGCAGCAGACAAATGGAAGATGGGTTTTAGCCTATTTTTCTGAAGGCCTTTTGCAGTCCAAAACATGGGGGGGGTGTACTGCACAGAATTGCAAATGCCTGCCACTCACTCAGGGCCAAAGGAGATCTGCAAAGCCTGTGGCTTTATAAGGAAAGTAGGAAGCAGCACAGTTCACTGCTGAATGGTTGTGAGGGGCTCCCTTCTCATCCCTGGCAGCAGAGCTTCCAGTGGGCGTGCACTCAAATTAGGTTCAGGAAAATTGCTTCTAGTGCTTACTATCAAAGGAAGGAGGGGAGAACTAGGAAGCCTGTGTGAGGGGAAGGAAAGCAAGCGATTTCTAGTTATCTGCCAGGCTGAAAGCCTGGAGTGCAGAGCTCTACATAGACTTGCAGTGCTTAGGTGACCTGCAGAAAATCATTGGCTTTCAGCAGAAGGAGGGACAGATACTCTGTTTTGGGAGCTCTGAGTGCTCTAAATTTAAAGTGGGCAGATAGAAGTGAGTTGAAGGGAGAGCAGTTACCCCTCTTCGATCAGGGCTGCATTTGAAGAGAGCAGCTGTTTGACCAGCCCTGCAGTCCATACACAGCTCCTGGGCTAATCCCCATCCTCCTCACGCCTTCTGCAGTATGGCCATTGGTTTACATGCCCTAGCGTGCCTTCAGTAAGCTAGTGTTCAAGTTGAGCTTTTGATTTGCCTCATGTTCCCCCCCCTCTCAGATTTGGTACTCGGTATGACAGCAGGGAATTCCCTCCCTTCTGAAAAGCACAGAGGGTAGAAGTGGCAGAGGTCATGAGAGGAACTAAAATTCTGTCC